ACAAGCAGGGGGAGTGGGAGAGGGAGAAGCAGGCTCTCTGTGGAACAGGGAGCCCAAGGCGGGGCTCGATCCCATCATGACCCAAGCCGAAGGCAGACGCCCAACAACTAAGTCACCCAGGCGCCCCTATTTCTTTGACTTTGTAAGTATACTAATGAATGGCCTAAATAATACTTCTCAAGATTATATCTTGATCTACTGGCCCTCCAATGTGGACTGCTCAACACTTAAAAGCTCTCTTATTTAAGAACATTTTTAGTATTGGATTAGGAAAAAAAATGCTTGCTTTCATATAAATACATAGACATAATAAAATATTAACAATTTTTTTAAATATTAACAAACTCTGATCAAAAGACCCACAGTTACTTGTTATTTGATTTAAAAACCAGGCCCCCCACCCCGAGTAGAGAAATGAGTTTTTTAAGCTTAAAATTATTTCCAGAAAATTATTTAAAACAAATTTGTAACTTGAGGCTTGAACTTAAAACTCTAAGATCGAGACCTGAACCAAGATCAAGACCTGAACTGAGATCAAGAGCCGGACACTTAACCAACTGAGCCACCCAGGCGCCCCTAGAACTTGAGGCACTTAAAGCCAGTTTTACATAGTTTACTGAAGTAGTCTCAGGTTGCTGGACAATTACTACTACCCACTGAGTACACATTCAGAAGGTACTACTTTTCAGATATATTACAGCATGGAGAATTTTCCATTTCAATGGATATTATATTGAACAAGGTCAAAAGGATACAGACTATCCACATTAGATACCTTTGAATTAAAGGCTTTACTGAATAATCCCTATTTTATTTCTTCCTGAAGATATTCAATGGGCCCCTCTCAAGTATTAGAAATACTCTCGGAAATAATGAAGCAATAACATCAAAATTGAAGTTTAGCCTTCTATAGTTAAAGGATTAAAAGCTGAAAGACTGATTAACAACTGAGGTATCCAAAATTGTTTTAATCTTCCTAAACAGCAATCCCTCTCTTAAGGGAGAGTTTTTATTTTCACCAGAGTCTGTCTTTTGAGGAATTTTATTTCCAGAAGTTAAAAGACTGTTAACTTCCCACACCAAGTGCAGTCTACCTCAAACTTGGCAGGCTGTGGCTACTGATTAATATTCAAACAATCCCCTAATCAAAGATGGAGAGGCCATACCTGAGCACCGTTCCTTGCTTCTGGGTACCCTACCTATCCAAGTGCTAATAGTGGAGCCATGTTTAATACATGACAGAGCTAAAACCTCTGACTCAGCCACCAACCACACCACAGAAAAAGAGAAGATCTCTCTCAAAGATTGCTCTCCATGTAAGTTAACTTTGCCCAAAGGAGTTTTTCTCCCGAGTATACTTTTTAAAGGAGACATTATATACATAATCATCCCCATTCAGTAAACTTACATACAGAAATGGTTATTAGAGGGCAGGCAGGTCTTTGGTATTTGAAATAACTCCAAACATATATTTATCAAATTCCTGATTTAAAGTAGTTTTGAACAAGCAATTAAATTAACATTAGTTTATGCCCCTGGAAAGAATTAGTAATTCCTTGTAAGTAAAAAGGTATATTTTACATAATTAACTTTTTTCTTAAGACACTTTAAAAGCAGGCCAAAATTTAATAAACTTTCTCTACCAGAAGATAAAAATACTTCTATCGTTGCTTCATACAGCAATATTTGTATTTTATTTTGGGGAAAAGGCAGAGACTTTGCTTAGCTATGATTCTGCAAAAAAAAGCAACAGAAAAAGTTGATTTTAATCTTTTTTTCTGAATTTATTCCACCTTACCTTGGCTTGGAATTCCATAAAGCTCTTCTCTGAACATTGTTTCCTGTCTGATAATTAGGAACCCAAACTATGAACTTCTAAGTTCTTCCACTTTACATGGAAATCAATAAACTAGTTTTAATATTGGACTGAATTTCAAAGTTCTGTTCTCTGTTCCTATTTGGTTAAAAGGTATATCTATTATCAAGAGAGTTTCTATTGATTTTCAACTAGAAGTATCAGTTTTGCTGTCAGAGCTCTTTATTTTTGTACATAAAAGGAAGTGGGTTTTGATACTATCTCAGTGTTCTTCCTGTCTTACAATGCATTTGAATTAAAATGATGTCAGACTGAGAGTAAAAACCCTAAATGAGACAAAGAAATAGGCACAATTACTTTGCTTTACCTTTATTAATAACTGTAACTGATTTAGAACTGCTCTGTTCCACGCTGCTCCTATCACTGCTAACTACAAGCTTTCCACGTTAATCTGCACTGGAGAACAAAAACATTCAGAGATTATATAATATGTACCTAAAAATTTACATATCTATGCCACATACCATATGTATGACCCATGAACGAGAGAAGCACATCCTATGAGAAACTAAATCATTCCTCATTGTTGGTCGCTCAGCAAAGAGTAAACATGAATTCCATATGACATTACGTTCACCTCTTACCTTCACCATCCAAACACCATATATAGCCCATTCTACTCCCAGTTTAAGAGACTACCTATAATGAGAAAAGATCTTCACAGAACATCTCATCTTAACGTAAACTGAGGATAAATATTCAATAATGTGATAATTTCTAGAAGAGGAATGAATACAAAGGCAGTTCAATAACAGTTTATCTGGACCACAATTCTGAATTTGCTATTACTTTGCTGTTAAATATCTTCTATTATAATGCCAAATATAGTGCAAGGTTATGCTATTTAAATCTATTAACCTATTGACAATGGGATTCTGTTGTTATTTCTTAGATCTTCCTGTATTGCAATACATACACCTGAATTTCTTAGAGATCACCTTTAACAAACATGTTACAGCCACTACTCAAAACAGCTACTGTAGCATATATGGCTAGTGAAAAGTGAAAAGGAATGACCTCTGAGACTATGATTCTGTTCCCAAATTCACTAGTCTGGCCTACTTAGTTACTGATCTTCCTGTCTTTAGACATATCCAGAAATTGTGAATCTTGGGGCGCCTGGGTGGCTCAGTCGTTAAGCATCTGCCTTCGGTTCAGGTCATGATCCCAGGGTCCTGGGATCAAGCCCCGCATCGGGCTCCCCGCTCTGCAGGGAGCCTGCTTCTCCCTCTCCCACTGCCCCTGCTTGTGTTTCCTCTCTCGCTGTGTCCCTCTCTGTCAAATAAATAAAATCTTTAAAAAAAAACCTGACTCTTACTGTTTCTCTTGCTTAATGATTTGGCTTGGTTCCTAATCTTAGATCAACAACTTCCAAATTTAAAAGTTTAAACTAGGTGGGGCACCTGGGTGGTACAGTCGGTTAAGTGTCTGACTCTTGGTTTTGGCTCAGTTTGTGATCTCAAGGTTGTGAGATCAAGCCCCGCGACTGCCTCCACACCCAGCATGAAGTCAGTCAGCTTTGGAATTCCTCTGCCCCTCCTGCTTGTGCTCTCTCTCTAAAAAATAAAAATAAATCTAAAAAAAAAAAAAAAAGTTTAAACTGGGGACAAGTAGGATAGACAGAGCCCTTAACACTTTTGGCTCCACCCTTCCAAAAAAGATCCTTAGGGGGCGCCTGGGTGGCTCAGTCGTTAAGCGTCTGCCTTCGGCTCAGGTCATGGTCCCAGGGTCCTGGGATCGAGCCCCGCATCGGGCTCCCTGCTCCGCGGGGGGCCTGCTTCTCCCTCTCCCACTCCCCCTGCTTGTGTTCCCTCTCTCAATGTCTGTCTCTGTCAAATAAATAAATAAATAAAATCTTTAAAAAAAAAAAAAAAAGATCCTTAGTAGACTCTGAGGAGTATAAGGCCCTGGACCACACCTCCTTTCACTACTGATTTAAAATCTATCTCAAGAATACTGGTTACAGGAGCTAGCTTTACCTTGACTTTATTCCATTTGTTCCTAACATCTGAGGTCTGGGTTACTCTCCAAGTGATCGTGATCTTAAAGCTAAAATCGTCTGATTACAAAATTTGCCCAAATTGTATGTGTGGTAGCTTTACCAGAGAACACAAATGATGCCACCAATTATCTTAGTTCTCTCCAGGAGTAGCACACACATGAATGCAGGGATGGTAATGAATCAGACTATTTTTCTGATGCAGTTCCAAATCAAAAGTTCCAAAGGCACTTAAAATTAATGAATCAAGTATTCCCACAAACATAACTCTAGCTTCTAGATCCAAAGACAGCTCACCTGTAACACAAACCGAAGAGGATATCCAAGTTAGGGAAATTCCTGGATGTCATTTTGTTCTAGAGTATCACTATATCAGTCCTTGTAAAGGAACCATCATGAGTTGGCTTAAATCTGTTCCGCCATATACAGCTAAGTTTATAAATATTGAGGTAAAAACAAGACAACTCTGACAAGAAGCTACATATAATTACCAAGAATAGGTAATAAAATTATTCTTAAGTGGAAAATCCATCCCAGGGAAGCTGCAGCAACAGACATTATTCCCTAGAAAATGTTTTTTGGGTAAGCTATGAAGCAGACACCAAGCAGGGAGAGCAAAGAACAGCAGACTAAATTTAGTCTTCGCTAGTAGAAATGAAAAGCATTCTCTTCCTGGTAAGTAGAGAGCTGTTAGAGCAGTAAGTGCTCAAATTTTAGAAGAGAGGATTAAGGAGGCAAATCAGATAAGAGCATCCTTCAAAAAGGCTATGGATGACCAAGAGCTGAATATTAACCCAAGTAAAACCTAGAGAGCCATGCTGCCCAACTGATAGCCACTAGCCACGTGTGGCTATTTAAATTAAAATTTAAAAAGAATAAAAAATTCCATTCCTCAAACTGCCCTAGTTCAAGTGCTCAACAGACATACTGGGCTACTGGCTGTGTTGGGTTGGACAGCACAGACACAGAACATTTCCATCATCATAAGAAAGTCAACTGGACAGTACCAATCATAAAGGGAAAGGAAGAGACGGGCTGTCCTGGGGTCTGAAAAGAGAGGAGCTACTCACAAGAGCATTTGTCCTATAGCATTCAGTACTTTATTGAGAGATCAGGTGGATTTACCTTTCCTTTTCCACCTGCTCTTTTTCCCCTCCTTGTTGCTGCCACCATCACTGCTGCTGCCGCTGTTCTCAGAACTCTGGGAGTCTGACTGACCATCACTGCTTTCTTCCGAACCTTCTGATAGCTCTTTCACCCCATCCGGCACATCCTTCTGAAAATGTAGGCATCCAATTAGGATTAATCATTACCATTTCAGCAAATAGGAATTAAATTTCTTATATGCATTGTTGCAACTTAACTGTGCTGATTAATTTTTAGTATTATAGGATTCAGTAGCAGAACCAGCAATATTTTCTGAATTCCTGTCATCTCTCTTCTTTGGGTCAAATTAGCTAACGTTTCCATCTACATCCAAAGATAAAAATTATACATGACAATCATATGAAAGCACAACAGAGAAATGTAATTTCTTAAATTCGAAACAACTGGGTATATGTAAGTCCAAGTAAATGAGAAGATGTTCAGAACAAAAAAACTATACAATACAATTTTGTAAAAGGTAGATATACTCATCCTCCAAGGATATATATTTGTGTGTATGTACCATTAAGTATTGTGAGTTGAGCTGACTCTGGATAGGAAGAAACAGTGCATTATTTGAATCTAATCGATTCCTAAATAATGGTTAATAAGTAACAAGAGTCAAATACAAAAGGAATAATCTAAAATTTTTTTTTCTATTTTTAAGTAAACTCTTCATGTGGGGCTCACACTTACAACCCCAAGATCAAGAGTCGCAGGCCCTACTGGCATGCTCTACTGACTGAGCCAGCCAGGCACCCCAAAGGAGTAATTTTTTTAAAAACTCACAGGAATCTTTGGTTTCCACTGAATAATGAGAATGCTAATCAGAAAAGATACCTGTGTCAGCACAGTATGTAAGAGATATAGTAGGATAGGTGCAAGATCAAGAACTAGAAAACTAAGACTTTCTGGAGTTGAACTCTGGCTTTATCTTCGCCTAATTATGCAGTCTGATCAAAGTCTTAACCTCTTATGCCTCAGTTCCCCTGTCTGTAACATGGAGATAATAATACCTACCTTAAAAGATCATTCTGAAATTAAATGAGTTAAAATGGAAAATGCTTAGAACAGTACCTGGCATGTAATAAGAGCTCAATAAATATTACCTACTATGTACGCATGTAGTATACAAAAATATACACGTATAAGCAAACATATTAGTGAATTTCTAAGTTATGAAACTATGGCTAATTCTTTTTTCCTCAATATATTTTTTTATTTTCCCACATTTTATAATCAGTTAAAAAATAATTCTAACATATGACCCTCCTTCCTACAACTGACACTCACATTATAGCCAAGGTAATAACCTCTCAGCTAGTAAGGAACTATTACTTCCCACTTAGGTTTATATCCTCGTGCCATTTCTAAGACATTTCTTATGTTATATGCTTTCTTAAAATACACATCCCATATTTTTCTATCCTTTCCTTCAAAATGTGGAACAACTTTTACATAGTTGCCAGCCAGACCTCCTGACCTGTAGGCTCAACAAGTATTTTTAAGTACAAATGTAATTCTTAAGCTTAAACTTGTAACCCTTCCAGGATCAACTGGTCGGCTGTGCATGCCCCAAATCTCAGAATCATTTCACCCTCCTTTTACCCACTCCATAGGATACATTTTATTTCTCTAATGTCCCTTGCCTCTCTTTAACCGTTCTGATAGTTCAGGCCAATTATCTCTTGCAAACAATCCCTTAAATCTATCCAATTTGAATTATCTTCCTAACACAGATTTGATCATACTATTCTCCTGAAAAACCTCTGCCATCTCCTCAGGGCTCTCTCTCTCTCAAACTGCTAATTCAGGTTTTCAAAAAGCCTCCACAATTTGATCTTCACCTAATGTTTACCCCACCTCCAACTCCTTACCTCACTAGCCCACACAGATGACCGCAACCACTTCCATCTACGCTAGTTTCAAATCCATTCTGAATCTCTCCATCTGTGCTTTTGCTTAAGCTAGAGTTCCTTATCCTGGAAGGTCCTTCCTCCTACTACTTACCAGCCAAAGATCAACTCAAATCTTACAAGTTAAAACAAAAACAAAAGTTTTCTAGATCCTCTTATTCAAAATTAATCTTTATTTCTCTACACTACGACGATGCCTTATAGTACAGGATATCACAGTATGTTTCGTCAGTATATAATTACTTCAATAACTGTGTGCGCATAGAGAGATCAGGGACCACAGTTTATTCTTCTTTATAGTCTCTACAGTGTCCAGCATAGGATAAGCATTTAATTGATGTTATTTTCAATATGGAAGGTCTAGAACAGCTAAAACTTAAAAGCAATGCAAAAAGCTCCCTGTGGGAGTAGAGCCCTGTATCATAGGAAGTTTAACAAAGTATATAAGAAGGAGGTACTACAGGTAAATTAGAACTTTCTTTTTTTTTCATGATTTTATTTATTTATTTGACAGAGACACAGCGAGAGAGGGAACACAAGCAGGGGGATTGGGAGAGGGAGAAGCAGGCTTCCTGCAGAGCAGGGAGTACGATGCGGGGCTTGATCCCAGGGCCCTGGGATCATGACCTGAGCCACCCAGGCGCCCCAAATTAGAACTTTCTAATGTTAGTGGGCTACACACAACCACTGAGCATAGTGATGACTACAGCTCAAAGCTAAAAAGAGGGGACAGAGTCCCATGTACACATGGACAATAGTCAGCGCATGCCAAGTATTAATTCTCCTTCTGCTGATAATTTCCTTTGGCAAACAATCCCTTTTCTGAATTCATCTGGCAGAGGGCTTACCCTCAACCTCACATCAAGAGTGATCATGAACCTACATATAGCCAGTCAGAAGACTCAATGCATTTGGCAACAGCGATTATTCAGGTATAGACACATGGGCCAAGACACACCAATTAAGCCAAATCAGAACTAACTGAAGGGCTCCCAGTTCAGTTCCTGAAGCTCTTTTCTCTTCAGACTTACAGCCTGCCAAGCGGGGGTTGACAGTGAAGTCATGTATGATAGGAGAGAGACTGCCTGAGAATAAAGCCAAAAGAAAGCAAAGAGATCAATCTCTGATGACATCATGTGACCTCCTGGATCCGGGCTGAGTTTTCTTAGTATTTACAGTTATATGAACTAATAAACTCTCTGTTTTAATCAAGCTCCTTTGAGTTGGTTTTGCTGTTTGTGACTGAAGGGACACTGATAAGTCAAGGTGTCTTCTCAGAGCCAGAAATAGAAATCAGCAAGACTATTATGGTAAAAAGAACATGAGCTCAGGAATTCAGTCAGACCTGAGTCCATAGTCCAGTTCTTATACTATCTGGCAAACACAAAACAAGAAAATGCAATCTTCTGAACTTGGGCGTTGTCCATTACAAAAAAAAGAACCGCAGCTCTGAACTGTAATGGAGAATTAAATAACAAAGTCATATGCTCCAAGGTAACACTCATTACTCAAATGTTCTGAGGTCCTTTAAAAAGTTACTGGAAGTCATTTTCAGTTAATCCTTTCAAGAGAGCATTATCATAAAGAATACAAAAGAAAGTTAGTTCTCTGGTCTACATACAGATGGCCACAGATTAGTATAAAAATGTACAGGATACAGAGTTGAACATATTACCTCTTCCTGAAAATAAGTTCTTCAAGAACAGAGTTCTGTCTCTACGATACAAATATCATTTAGATGTCATCACTTCATGTTTTTACCTTATAAATGATGCCCTAACAAAAATATTTACCTTCAAAGTATATACTCCCATTCTACCTGGAACCTTATAGAAGATGCCCTCTTCACCTCGGGAGTTTGTATGCAGCATTGCATTCAGGCATGCAAGAGGGGAAGTCCCACTGCAAAAAAAAAAAAAAGAACAAGAGGAGCACAATGATTAGTTTTTGTGTCTGAGTATCCTACGTAACACTGACTTAAGATAAAATTAACTGAGCAACATCCTTTGACATAAACACATTTTATAAACTATAAAAAGTCCATCAATCTACAGAGAGGCTTCCATGGAGAAAACAGATGTAAAATTCATCCTCATATAGCTAAAGGAAAAATAATTCTTTCATTTTCTTAATCCTGATCCAGTATTTAACATGTAAGAAAACATGGACCTCACAGACCTCACAGAAGTCTTACAAATATATTTTGTAAATATTGTATTTCACTTACAATTTTGTCAATTATATCTCACTAAAGCTGAGATTTAAAACAAACAAACAAAAACATTCTCGACTTCATTTAACACAAGCTTTACAGGCCCAGAAGTAAAACAGAGGGAGGAAAGAACATACCTACAGATTCAAATAAAAATACTAGTCTCCTTAAAATATATATATATTTTATATATATCTATAAAACATATATATGTGTTATATATATATATATAAATCTTGCACACTGCTGCAACGGACTGAATCTAAGGTGTGAAATGAATACATTTCTATGGTCTCTTGTATTTATTTTTTTATATTTTTATTGATTTAACTGACATATAATACATTAGTTTCAAGTATACAACATAGTGATGCCATGTATATATACATATATATATATATATAAACACACACACATACACACATACGTATAATGCAATGGTCCCTTGTACTTAGACCTATCACGGTATCACTTAAAGAGGTATAAAGTAGGTTTTGGAATATTTATCGTCTATGTCGCACCTTGGTTAAATGTTTACTAACTTCAATACACATTTACTGTATTTCCAGAGTTTTAGGCATAAAACTGTAAAAAATATATTATTTTCCTTTCTGTTATCACATTTCATTTTCCTATCTTTTTGTACCTAACATAACAAATAGCAATATAATGGAAGATGTGTGGCATCCTTAATTAAAAAAAATCTCTCCTAATACCTGAGGGATAAGGCAGCTTATTTGCATATTCCCAGCTGTTCTCCCTCTCAGTTCTCTGCTGGTACCACTCAATAACCCAAATAAGCCTACTAGAAGAGGCTGCTAGGTATCTTGGATATACTTGAAAATAGGAGTTCTCTGTGGGGGATAGGAGGACCATGGGTCCATTCTCTTCTGGTATTTGTGCAAGTGTTGAGGGTCAAAAACTGTAAAGAAGAAGGAGAGCAACAAAGAAAATTAAAAAAAAAATTTTTTTTTCTTTTTTTTTGTTAAAGTATTGAGAGCCTCCAGGCTGCTGCTCATATTTTTATATAATTTGGAATTTCCATCTTAAAAATACACATAATGCAATTCTAGTCAGAATCCCAAAGTTTATATCAAATAAATATATAAGAAATTTCTGGGGAAAAAATGATGGGAGCCTTCTTAAGAAGATATTAAAATGTACTCTAAGCTACTATCATTGAAGCAATATGTTTCTAGGACAGGATAAAGAAGCAAATGAACACTCTAGCCTGTTGCTAGGACAAAACAGAATATAGAAACAGATCATAATAAATGTAAAAGCTGCAATCTCTGTACCTGTCTGTATTATCTGTGTAGCGGGAAGGAGACAAGGTCATGATCTGGTCACCTGTGGTTTGACTACCTGGCATCTACCTGAACCCTCTTCTGGAGACAATATCTAAAATTTCCCATAAAACATTATCCCTTTCCCACCCTCATAAAGGTGGCTGAGACAGAATTTTTTTTTTTTAAAGATTTTATTTATTTATTTGACAGAGAGAGAATGAGAGATAGAGAGCACGAGAGGGAAGAGGGTCAGAGGGAGAAGCAGACTCCCTGCTGAGCAGGGAGCCCGATGCAGGACTCGATCCCGGGACTCCAGGATCATGACCTGAGCCGAAGGCAGTTGCTTAACCAACTGAGCCACCCAGGCGCCCGGCTGAGACAGAATTAATCACAGGTGTAAATCCAAACTGTTAATCCCTATTTCCTGGTTGAAAAAGCCAATCAGCATTTCTGTGTGCACCCCATTCTTCCCCACTCCCACAGCGACAGATTCAGGAACAGACAAAGGACTCAATCTGGGGCAACAATCTAAGGAGCTATTTACTTGGGCATTTAAGAAAAGAAACTTGTTCTGCTGAGAAGCTTCAGAAAGAAACTCTTTCTCTTCCCCTGAGCAGTAAGAGGAAGTAATGCCTAAAACTTTCAATCATGTGACCATGAGGAAAATATCTGGGACTGGGGTAAACAACACATAGGACAGACAAAAGAAGCGTTAGGTAAGGGTTATAGGGAAAAATACAACACCCAAAAAGGCACTGAACTCGGGGGGGGGAGGGGGATAAGGAAAACAGCAATAATTTTAGCAATATTACTTTTGCCACTGTATCAAGCAATGCCTTGAGTCATCCCTACCTTTGGAATCACTGAGGTTTTAAGTCATAAGCAACCCAAAAGAGTAGTAAATAAAATAGTTTATGTTAAGTAGTGCTGGAACAGCATGTTATACATCTGGGGAAAATAATTCTCACAGTATACCCAAAACACATTCCAACTGGATTAAAGACCAAAAAGTAAAAAGTAGAAGGTATTAAAAGGAAAATAGGGGGCGCCTGAGTGTCTCAGTTGGTTAAGCGTCTGCCTTCCGATCTGGTCGCAATCTCAAAGTGGTGGGATCAAGCTGCCTTGGGCTACCTGCTCAGGAGGGAGTCTGTTTCTCCCCCTCCCTCTCCCTCCTCTGTTTCTGCTCTCTGTCTCTCTCTCAAATAAATAAAATCTTAAAAAAAAAAAAAAAGTATACAACCTTCCAGATGGATAAACCTTTCTAAATAAGAGAGAAAACCTAAGAACCACAAAAGAGAAACAAATTGACTAAATAAAAACAAAAAGCTCTAGGGGCGCCTGGGTGGCTCAGTCGTTACATGTCTGCCTCCGGCTCAGGCCATGATCCCAGGGTCCTGGGATCGAGCCCCGCATCGGGCTCCCTGCTCGGTGGAAAGACTGCTTCTCCCTCCCCCACTCCCCCTGCTTGTGTTCCCTCTCTCGCTGAGTCTCTCCTGTCAAATAAATAAAATATTTAAAAATAAATAAATAAATAAATAAATAAAAAGCTCTATGTAGGAAAAAAAAAAAAACAAGATCAACCAAACTATAGAAAGTATACGAAGCTGAAATAAGTAACTGCAAAAAAAATAGCAGACAAAACAATGAAGAGTCCAGAGAGCTGCGTTTAGGAAAACACAAACAACCAATTTAAGAAAATGGATAAAGGATATGAATAAATGATCGCAAAACATGCAACATAAATGATCACTGGAACACATGGAGAAGCCCAAACTTATTAGTGATCAAAGGAGAAAAAAAAATCAAGATACCATTGATCAGACTGGAAGACATCAAATGAATCCAAGTCTTAGTTAACGGTACTGTGCTAACATCAATTACCTGATTTTGATATTGTACTATAGTTATATGATGTTACCACTGGAGGAAGCTGAGTGACATACACATGAGACTATTTTTCCATTTTCCTGTGAGTCTATAATTACTTTAAAATAAAAAACAGGGGCACCTGGGTGGCTCAGTCAGTTAAGCATCCACCTTGAGCTCAGGTCATGATCTTGGGGTCCTGGGATAGAGCCCCACATCAAACTCCCTGCTCAGCAGAAAGTCTGCTTGTCCCCCTCCTCCCCTCCCTGACCACTTGTGAGTATGCATGTGTGCTCTCTCTCAAATAAATCTTTTTTTTTTTAAAGATTTTATTTACTTATGTATTTGAGAGAGCAAGAATGAGAGAGAGAGAGCACATGAAATGGGGGAGGGTCAGAGGAAGAAGCAGACTCCCGCTGAGCAGTGAGCCCGATGCGGGACTCGATCCCGGGACTCCAGAATCATGACCTGAGCCGAAGGCAGTCGCCCAACCAACTGAGCCACCCAGGCGCCCTCTCAAATAAATAATCTTTAAAAATAAATAAGTAAATAAAAAACAAAAAAGCAAATGAATTGATAAAATCCATTGTTAGTACAGTTATGGGCAAATGAGCACTCCTCATAGACTGTTGGCAGAACCAGAAACTGCTACCTTCCCCACCCCATCTCAATTTTGCCTTAGGGAAGAAACATGGAAGTATCCACTGAAATGAAAAATATTAGGGCCCAGTGATCCAACAATCCCATTTCTATCTATCCTACAAAAATAAGGCCCCAAGGACTTACGGCCATATATGGAAGGATCATATCCAGCATTGTTAAAAATGTCAAAGCACTGAAAATGACTTCAAAGTCCAATATGGGAATGGTTGACCATATGTTAGTAAAGTAACCAACAGGACAGGCACGAATCATAACAACTACATTAACAAGTGCTAAATTCTAAGAAGCATTCTGTTTAGCCCTCACAACAATCCTTTGAGGCAGGCAAAATTGTTATGCCATTTTTATAAATGAAAAAACTAACATATATAAGGTTGTTAAGTAAAGATTAGTAAATAGTGAACCCAAGATTCCAGTAAGAAGAAACAAAACAGAAGCATAACACGAAAAAGACTGCTTAGAAAGAAAATAAGACCAAGTGAAAAAACATGTTATCTGTAGTTCAATAATCCATCTGGTAAAAGTTTGCCCCATCTAATGGTATTCAATTCCAGTATTAAGTAGCCACTCTGTTTAGGCCAATAAACTAGGGTCTGTGGGTAGGTCCAAGGAGGAAATCTTTCTTAGCTCAGAAAAGGGAAGACAGACGAAGGAACAAAGCCATAGCACACCATAATCAGTGCTAAAAATAGAGACACAGGTCCACAATCCCTGAACCACAACACTTACGGCCAAATGTTTTAGGCATAAAAATCTTTTGAATTTTAGAAAGGAACATGATATGCCATCTATTATGTAACACCATCAGGAGGATTAGGGACAGCATCCCATAACCAAATACACTGAAACATAAATATTTACACTAAATGGGA